GCGGCGGCCGCGGCTCTGGGAGGCCTGGTGCGGACCCCGGCGCACCCCTGGGCGCCCCCCGCGCCTCGCGCAGGTAACCGCGCGGTGCGGGGCCGCCGGGCTTGGGGCTCAGTGGGCCTGGGACGCGCTCCAGCCTTCCGGTCCGGTTCGGGTGGGCTCAGGCCGGGGACGCAACCCTCCGGCTCCTGTCCTCCGGGCACGGCCCTGCGCAGCGGCCATTTGTCACACGCGAAAGCACTAAGTGTCCTCTTGGGACGCTAGGGAGCAGCCGAGCTGGTGGGGGTCCTGATTCCGGGCGAAGCAGGGAGATACGGCGTCTTTGCGGGCATTACAGGTTTTCCTGGGGTTCTCAAAGGGATCCGTGGCCCACAGAGGTTAAGAAGTGCCCTCCTAGCGCCACAGCCCAACCAAGGGGTTCTCCCAGGGTCTGGTCAAGCCCTGGGAGGGTGTTGTGAGGGTGGGGGGGGGGGGGGAACTCAGCTGCTCGCTTTGGGTTTCCTTGTTCTGCACTGCAGATCACCTCGGGAGAGCCCAGGCCCTGGATGTCAGACAGGAATCGGAGAGAGGGTCCCTCTGAAGCCCCGCCTCCCACTCCCTTTCTCCCGTGATGACTAAGGATTCTGGATTCAGGGTTTACTGACCACACCCTGGGACCCGCGGGGGCGGAGCCGGTTTGCTCACGCGGCCTGGGCAGCGGGCTGGGCGAGCTCTGGGTTCCTCCTTTGGACGGTTGTGGGAGCCAGCTTCCTCCGCGGGCTCATCCGCCAGGACGTACACACGTAAACCTTGCCTGCTGGTTGGCGGGAGCCTTTACCTGGTCCGCGCCTCCCAGGGACTTTGGCCCTGAACCTGCCGCGGTTGGGAGGGGGGACTCCTGCCTTCGGCCAGGGACACGAATGAGGCAGTTTTTGCAGGAAGTTGGGGTGTCGTGGCACCAGGAGCCTCACATGGGGTTGAGTCATCCTGTTTGTCCTGACCTTTCTGGAAGGCAGCAGGAATTCATTGTTTCCAGGTGTGGGTCCTTCCTGGGCTTTCTGTTGCATTTGAGTGAAACCCAGCTCCCTTCCCTGCCTCCACCCCAGCAGGATGCCCTTGCTCTCGCCTGCCAGTGGCCCCCCTGCCACAGTCAGTGCTCCCCTAAAGCTCCGGCATCAGCAGGCAGTTAATCGTTTACTCAGGCTCTGTGCTGTCCCTGGTGAGCTGCTCCCATGCCAGACTGCTTTGCCAAAGTTCTGCCTGATGGCCTGATTTCTCCGTGGCCCTGGGTTGACCCAGGGTGGGGCTGAGGATGTGCCCCGGCCTGTTTGGAGTCTTCAGCCCCCAGAAAGGGACTGTGGACATGGGCACCAGAGTGACCACCCACGAGTGCACCACCCAGAGTGCGGGCCAGTGGGCCTGGGGTCCCACCCCCCACCTACTCAGCCCTTTCCGGGGCATCTGGGGCTGATACCCCTCGGAGAACTGTTAGGTGAGCACAGGCAGCTCAGGCCCAGGGTCCTGGAATGCCAGGGTGGGGGGTTCTCTGGCCAGGTGGGGCTGTGGCACTGCCTGCCCAGCCAGTGCAGCCCTCTGGTTCCGAGAGGGGAGAAGCTGGCTGGGCTGGCAGGCAGAGTGTCCATGGCACTGCACAGACAGGCAAGTGAGAAGCAGGGGCGGCCGGTGGCCAGCACAGGTCCTGGCCCGGCTGGGCAGGAGGGGCCCATAAAGGCTGAGCGTAGGAGGCTGAGAGGTGAGGCCCCACAGCATTGTCCCCGAGCTCTGCGGTGGCCTTTGTCAGGGGAGCCCAGCAGGTGCAGCCTCCCCCCGCCCACCCCCGATCTTGCTCCTGGAGGCTGTGGTGTATAAGGGTGCTGAAGAAAGGAAACAAAGCTGGTGCTCACTGGCCAAGGGAGGGGCCGTGGCTTCTGAACCATCAGCCCCCACTTGGGGGTCCTATTAGGGCTTTTTTTCCCTCTGCGGGGTCCCTGGCCCATCAGGCGTTGAGGGAGTCTGGCTACAGTGTTCTCCGTCCACCTTCTGTCTAGAAGACACTTCACCTCGAACCATGAATCTCGACATTCAGTGTCAGCAGCTGAGTGACGCCCGGTGGACGGAGCTCCTGCCTCTGATCCAGCAGTACCAGGTGGTCAGGTAGGTGCACACGGAGGCGGCGGGCGGGCCCCCACCCCCGGCCGGCCGCTCTGCTGCCTTCCCCCCCCCCCACCACAGTGGGCGGGGCTTCTGATGCACAGTGCACATTTTACATGGTCCCTCCTCGTTCTCGGCCACCCGACTCTTGAGCCTGCTCAGGCTCTGGGAAGTCTTTCTGACTTCCCGCCAGGGCCGAGTCACAAGTTTTTCATGAGAATATGCAGAAATGCTGTTGTGTCTGCGGGGTATGTTGTATCCTACCGACTGCCGTGGCACCCAACGGTCACCTCTGGTCACCGTGACCCCCTGTGAGGGCGGCGTCTGCCGGCCGTCCCCACTACAGAGTTCCTGTTTCCTCTTTGTAATTGGTAAATATCTTGGGTGAGATACGCAGAGACTGCTGACATCCTGCTTCTGCTCAGACTTTCACCTCCTGGTTTTGTCATCCGTCGGTGGATCTTGCCAGAACAGTTATTACTGGGCCTTTGTCTAATGGGGATTTTTAATCCCCTCGTTCCGTTCCCATTTATCAGCTGTCATTCTCCTGCGAGCGACAGCTGGTTTTCCTCCCACCAGCGTTCAGTTCTCACTGGTCGGGGTGGCCCCTGCCGTTCGTGCCCATCCTGGCGAGCCCCTCCGGTTGGCTGGCCCCTCCGAGGTGCTGTGCCCTTTCCGTGGCACTTCTCAGAGCTGCCGCCTGGTGCCGGTCTGGTGTTTCCCGGGAGGCAGACGAGAGCTCTCGCGTGCCGACCGTGCCCCCGCAGTGCGGCGTGGAGGGTGTGGGGGCCCAGACGTCACCTGTGTACGTGCTGGTGTCTTCGGCGGAAGCTTCGTGAGGTGACCTGTACGCTCCCGTCCACAGGTTGGACGACTGTGGCCTCACGGAGGTGCGGTGCAAGGACATCTGCTCTGCCCTCCAGGCCAACCCCTCGCTGACCGAGCTGAGCCTTTGCACGAATGAGCTGCACGATGCCGGGGTGCGGCTGGTGCTCCAGGGCCTGCAGAGCCCCAGCTGCAGGATCCAGAAGCTCAGGTGAGCCTGTGTGATCCACACGGCCCAGGCGCTTGCCCCACCCCGAGCTCAGGTGTGGACCTACCGGGACAGCCTGGGGAAGGGGGGCAGGAGACAGCAGCAGGTCCGGGAGCGTGGGGGCTTCCCCCGCCTTGTCTCGGGCCCCTGTCCCCCTGTGGGGTCTGCTCACGCCACAGCCCTGCCTCCTGTTCCTGGGCTCGCGACCCAGTGTCCTCTAGGCCCCGAGGTGCATCCCCTCCTGCCCTCTATTCCTTTGCCTGGAGACCCCAGAGGAGACGGCGGCCCTCTTGCAAGGCCAGGCCCAGGGCTCCCCCAGGCGAGGGGGTCGGGGTGGGGAGGGGGAGGTGCTGGTGCTGTGTCTGCTTCACCCCGGCTCCTGAGGACAGAGGGGCACTTTCCCTGGGGGCCATGGCCTGGCTGGCGGGGACCCTGCTGATGGCTGGCTGGGTGTGCTCCAGCCTCCGGAACTGCTGCCTGACGAACACCGGCTGCGAGGTCCTGCCCGACGCGCTGCGCTCCCTGCCTACCCTGCGAGAGCTGCAGCTCAGCGACAACCCGCTGGGGGACGCGGGCCTGCAGCTGCTCTGCAAAGGACTCCTGGACCCCCAGTGCCACTTGGAGAAGCTTCAGTGAGTGTGGGGCCCACCACCCAGGCCGCCCCCAGCCCTACACTTCCGGGTCACTGTGGTTTTGGCTGAGGACGGCCCTGGGCAAGCCCTTGCCTCAGCGTGTTGGCTGCAGGGAGCTTTGAAGAGGGAGCTCTGGGGGACCTGCCGATGGTCCTTCTGTGTGATGCTGGGGCTGTAGTCCAAAAGCCGAAAGGTGGCCTGTAGCCCCACATCACGTGTGGGGCGGCCTGGCCACCAGAAGTGTGCTGATGGGCTCAGCGATGGAGGAAGGCAGGCAGACCCAGATCGGGAGACTGGCATCTTTCTCCCGGGTCCGGTGACCCCCAAGCTCAGGGTGGGGCTCGTGGTTGGCGGCCGGCTTCCCAGAGGCCCTGAGCGCCCACCGTGCAAGGAGATGGCCCCTTAGCCACTGCTGTCCCTGCCCAGCAGCCCTCTGGTCTCATGCGCCCTGCAGCCCGGGGTGGGAGAGGAGACCCGGACCGAGCTCCCTTGGCCAGGGTTCCCGACACCCACCTGTCCCCAGGCTGGAGTACTGCAACCTGACGGCCGCCAGCTGTGAGCCCCTGGCCGCAGTGCTCAGGGCCTGGAGGCACGTCAAGGAGCTTGTGGTAAGCAACAACGACATCGGCGAGGCTGGCGTGCAGGCGCTGTGTCGGGGCCTGGTGGACTCTGCCTGCCAGCTGGAGACGCTCAAGTAAGTGTGGGGGTCTGGCGGGGGCGGGGGGACGGGACCACGGGGGCTTCCCAGCTCTGCCGGCCCCCCTGTGCCCCCAGACTGGAGAACTGCGGCCTCACGCCGGCCAGCTGTAAGGACCTGTGCGGTGTCGTGGCCTCCAAGGCCTCGCTGCAGGAGCTGGACCTGGGTGACAACAAGCTGGGTGACCAGGGCATCGCCACACTGTGCCCCGCGCTGCTGCACCCCAGCTCCCGGCTCAGGGTCCTGTGGTGAGTTTGCGCCCGCCCTGCTTCCTCGGAGAGCCGTGGCCCCAGCGGGCGGGTGGGGAGTATCTGAGAAGATTGGCTGTGTGTCCCCTGGGGGCCCTGCAGTGATGCGTCCCCGGCTCTGCAGGCTCTGGGACTGTGACATCACCACCACGGGCTGCAGAGACCTGTGCCAAGTGCTCAGGGCCAAGGAGAGCCTGAAGGAGCTGAGCCTGGCAGGCAATGCGCTGGGGGACGAGGGTGCCCGGCTGCTGTGTGAGAGCCTGCTGGGGCCTGGATGCCAGCTGCAGTCCCTGTGGTGAGCGCAGCCCGAGGGCAGCCGGGGGACGGTGGGCCTGTGAGGAGCGTGGCGCCTGGGGACACCTCGGGGAGGACAGTGGTGCTGGTGCCCCGGGGCCCAGGCCCCAGGTCAGCCTCTGCGCCCGCGGGCAGGGGTGCCGCGCGGGAGGGGGTGCCGCGTGTCCTTAGAGGGCGGGGCCTCCGGGGCCTCAGCACCCCGGAGGTGTGGGCGTGGCCAGGCCCTAGTGCTCTTTCTCTCCCAGGGTGAAGTCCTGTGGCCTCACGGCCGCGTGCTGCCCCCACGTCAGCGCGATGCTGACCCACAACAAGCACCTCGTGGAGCTGCAGATGAGTGACAACAAGCTGGGCGACTCCGGTGTCCAGGAGCTCTGCCAGGGCCTGAGCCAGCCTAGCGCCACGCTGCGGGTGCTCTGGTGAGCGAGCACGGGCGTGCCGGGCACGTCTCAGTCTGATGGGTCCAAGTCCGGGGTCCCGCGCGTCCCCCTGGGGCCCCTCCCTACTCCTGACGGCCACGTCTGGCAACTCCCGGAACCCGCGGGCTCCCGAAGGCCTGGCAGCACCTGCTTTGTGCGCTGCCCTGCACGGCTGTGTTCCGGGGTCCTGGTTCCTTTGTTGTGCTGGACGCCTGTTTGTGCTCCAGTGTCGGGCCTTTGAGGATTTTCCCAATCTTGTTTCTTGCTTCCTGGAGCTCTCAGGAACCCACTGCTGGGTCTCACCGACCGCCCTGTAGCCCGACACCCCGTTCTTGTTTCTGTTCTCTCTTGGCCCGTCAGCCGTTTGCTTCTGCTGTCGCAGGTTTTGGCTTTGTTGGCGGCCTCTGGATCTCTGCTTCTCACTGTGGCTTCTGGGGATGCCTGGCCATGCTGGGCGGGACACAGGTGAAGGATGTGGCTGAAGCAGCCCTGGACAGCTGGCCCTGCAGGCTGAGCCCGACAGGGTCCCCTGCTTTTCTATCCAGAGGGCCTGGTCTGCTGCCAGCTCCTTGGGGTGCTCTGGGGGCAGGCGGGGCAGGGGGCGTGGCTTGGGTCCACGTAGACTCAGGTCTACCTCAGCTGTCAAACCAGGCAGGGGGCCTGGAGCTTCTGGGGCCTCAGCTCCATCCCCCACCTAGGTGTCCTTGCTCTGGAGGCTGGAAGCCTCTGTGTACTTTGTGCCTCCGGCCACCCTCCTCCCTCCCACCTTTGGCCTCTGGGTGCCTCCTTGGCAGCCCAGCCAGGCTCTAGCACCTGGCGGTGAGCAAGCAAGCGGCTGTAGGAGGCCCTCTGGTGACCCGAGTTGGCCCCGGGGAGGCTGTGGCCAGGGTGTGCCAGCCTCAGGTCCGTCTGACCACTCGGCCTGGAGGGCAGCTGTGTGCACCTTCCTTCCCTCTCCGGTCGGGGTGTCTGCCTGGGGCCGGCCACTGGGTCAGAGACAGACGTGCTCCCGAGTTCGAGGTTTGGGGAACGGCTACGACCCCGAGGTCTCGGCGTGCGGTGTGCACGCACACGTGCCTCAGGGCTCCATGAACATCGCGGTGCGTGGACAGCCCCGCCAGCACCCTGTTCTGTGGCGGATCCTCTCGTCCTGACCTGTGCCCTGCCGTCTGCCCAGGCTGGGGGAATGCGACGTGGCCAACAGCGGCTGCAACAGCCTGGCCTCGCTCCTGGTGGTCAACCGCAGCCTGCGGGAGCTGGACCTCAGCAACAACTGCATGGACGACCGGGGCATCCTTCGGCTGATGGAGAGCCTGGAGCGGCCTGACTGTGCGCTGGAACAGCTGGTGTGAGTGGGGCGTGGTGGGGGGGAGCTGGAGGGGGGGCGGGAGCTGGGGGATGGCCCGCGAGGCCATGACCCAGCCTCCTCCCTGCGCACGCAGCCTGTACGACATCTACTGGACGCAGCAGACTGAGGACCTCCTTCAGGCCCTGGGAGAACGCAAGCCAGGCCTGCGGATTATCTCCTGAGAGGCCTCCTGCCCCTCCCCCTCCGGACCTCCTGGCTGAGAATGAAGAGAAGGGTTCAAATCGATGGACTTCTGTGGGAAAGTTTCAGACACTTTTATTAAAGCACTTTTTTTGGCAGGAGGAGTGCTTGTCCTTCTTGTGGGGTCTCCACCAGGCACGGTGTCAGTGTCGCAGCTGTTAGGGCTCCCCCGCTGGGTTCGTGCCGCGGCCCATCACCCCCACCGGCAGCAGCTCCGGGGCAGCCCATCTGCACACCTGCCCCTGTCCCCCCCGCCCTCTGGGCAGCACCAGCACTGGGCCCATGATGCACAGGGCCCACAGGGCCGGGAGCTGGTAAGGACCTGTTTTACTTGTTCTGTTAGCTCTTGAAGACCCTCTGCCCCTCCTCCCAACCTCAGGCCCAGAGCCTTTGAGTTTCTGACTCCACGTTCCTCAAGGAGCCAATCCGGTGACCTCCGGCCCCGTTCACACCCCCAGGTTTGCTGGGTCAGATGAAGCCTCCCCAGGAAGTGGCTCAGGGCTGCCTCCTTAGACCTGCCCCTTCTCAGCTGTCTCAGGGTATCACTGGATGGTCGTCCTTCACATGTGCTGTCGAGGGGCTAATGGGGGTCCAGTGAGGTGCAGTCAGGGCTTCAGAGTGGCTGGGGGCCCAGGGAGCAGAGGAAGGCACCGTGATGCCTCTGCTGGGCCTGAGCCGTCCGTCTGGGTGCTGAGGGCTCGCTGTGGCCCAGAGGCCGGCGGGCTGACTGTGCAGAAAGGGGAGGGGACCAGCTGCCTGGAGCAAGCCCAGCCACAACGGTCAGGCTGAGAGGAGCCCCAGGAGCACATGTGCGCGGACGCGCGCACACACACACACACACACACACACACACACACCCACCCACCCTCTCTGGGTCAGGGGCACCTGCACCCCACAGAGCCCAGCTATGCGCATGGGAGGAAGGGAAAATAAAACCACAAGGGCTGAGGCCTGTCAGAAGGTTCCAGCAGGCCTGGGCTCTGGGCAGTTGTGAGGTGCATCAGTTTGGGGCTGGCACCCCCTCCCTCTCAGGCTCCACAGGCCCTGGGGGGTCTTCCGGCCCAGGCAGGTGTCCATCCATGTCGCCCCCGGCTCTGCCCTGGTCACCCCGGCTCTGCTGCTTCTGCCGTCGAGTCTCCTTGTACCTCAGGGTGATGTCCCTGGGGACAGTGGGGGCCAAGTCACCACCGGCCGGCCCCTGGCAGTCCCCTCACAGGGCGAAACCGCCCCTCACAGGGACGCCCCCACCCAGCTCCAGGCAGGGGCCGCGGGACCCAGACACCAGCCGAACACAGCCCCCGAGCTGGTGTCGAGGCCACCGGGAGCACGGCACTCACCGCAAGAAGAAGCGCCAGATGGTCCAGGTGAGCACGAGCACAGAGCCGAGCGTCCAGCACTGGGAGATGTAGAAGGGCAGCGACAGCGTGAGCGTATGTGGGTCGTACTTCACCACGATGAGCAGCTCTGTGACTGTGATGGCCGCCACCAGCCAGGCCTGCTGGCCCAGCTTCTTGTGGAGCTTCCTGCGGGGGAAGGCAGTCGGCTGAGGGCACTGTGGCTGTGCCCCAGGGGCAGCGACGCCAAGTGTGTCCGGGCCCGCCCCCCGGGTCTCACGGGTCATCCATGAAGTCGTAGATCTCCCGCATGGCCACGCCGCCCACGTTCACAAAGAAGATCAGCCGCAGGAGGACCAGGTAGTGCTCGGGGGGCATCCACAGCACGAACTTCAGGTAGAATGTGTTCAGCTCTGCCAACAGAAACTGGGGGACAGAGGAGGGTGGGTGGCGAGCCGGGCTGCCCAGCAGGCGCGCACACGAGACTGGCCAGCCTTACCACCAGGATGATGCCGCACACGGCCAGCCAGCGGCGCAGGCTGGAGGCGGGCTTCCACTCGAAGCGGACCCAGCTGTAGGGCGTGAACTGGAAGGCGATTCTCTTCATCTTGCCCCTGGGAGCACAGGTGCCCGTCAGCCCGGGGCCCCTCTGCTCCACCTGGCAGCCATGCCGGGGGCCCGTGATGGGTGGGAGACCCCACTCCCCTGCCCTCCCGGGTCACCTAATGGGGGCAGCTCCTGGAGAGCCTCTGAAAAATGCTGGCAGGGGATGAGGAGGACCTGATTAGACAGGCTGGGGTCGGGCTGACATCCCTCCCCCCACGGACCAGGGCAGCTAGAGAGCCGTACTTGTAGGTCGGAATGTTCCAGAGGCCCTGCCACTTGTACGTCTTCAGAGACAGCCACTCAAGAGTCTTCATGCCGCAGTAGATGCCCAGCCCATTGCAAACGAGCACATCCATGATCCACTGGGGGCGGGAGCCAGGGAGGTGGTGGGCTCCTGTGGTCCCCAGTCCCATCCTGCCCTCGACCCCCCCAGGGCAGCTGCTGGCACTTACGTGATCCCACCAGCACTCGCTGAAGTTGGGCAGCTGGTGCTCTAGGCTGTACTCGAGGAACTCGAACATCACACTCACGATCGTGCACATCCACCAGTCACGAATCATCAGGGTCTGCAGGCCGCGGCAGAGCGTCAGCCGCTCCAGGGCGACACCCCTGACCCCCTCAGGAGCGGGGCGAGGCACTGGTTGGAGGCCACGACACCAAGGACAAGTGCGGGTCGGGGCAGGACCCAGGGTGCCCAAGCAGTTGTGCCAACTCTCTGGACAGCTGCCTGGCCTGAGCCATGGCCCCCAGACCCTCGCCCACCACAGTCAACCACTCTGAACGTCAGCCTGTGGCTGGGAAGTGGCTTCAGAGCACAAGGCAGACCTGAAAACCAGGGTGTCCTTCTGACGACGAGGTCACCTTACCTTCAGGTACCAGCCAAGAAAGTGCGCAGGCACAAAGCCGTCCAGCTTGTCCTGTGGGGACAGGACACTGGCCTCGTGCACGGCCCACAGCCGCTGGTCCCTCCTTCTCCATGGGCACCTGGGCCCGGTTCCTGCCTCTCTGAGCTGTGCTGACTGGATCCCAGGGACAAAGCTGGGATCCCGCACACAGGCGGACAGCACGCCCTGACCACAGAGGAGAGCAGGTCTCCAGGCTGAGACGCAGGGACCTGCCCCACAAGGGGGCTGCACGGACCCTTCGCCAAGTGGGCTAAGCTGAAGGGAGCCCTGGGTCAGGCAGGAGGGAGGTCAGCGCCTGGCAAGGCCAACGCCAACCCCACCCTGTCTGATCTGCAGAACGACCGGGGTTCCAGAAACATGCAGGACAGGTCAGCACCTGGGGAGCTGATTAAACACGTGACTCCTGGCCCCACCCCGAGCACGGAGCTCCTAGGGCCCGCCTGTACCCAGACGTTGTGGAAGGGGTCACTCTCGTTGTCTGCGTCGTAGATGAGGCAGTTTCCCCCGTAGTCCCTCTCCGGCAGTGGGACTCCCAGCTTGGGGTCCACATACTTCAGAAACTGGCGGCCGTCCTGGACAGTCTGCAAGGCCAGCGCCCTGGTCAGTGAGGCCACATGCTGCTGGTGGCGACGGGAGAGCTCGGCTAAAGTCCCGAAAGCGTGCGTGTGGCCTGGGGTGTGTGGATGACGCCTCTGCCGAGTGGGGACAAACACCCTGCAGTGCAGGGACGGGCAGACGTGGTGGGGGTGGGGAGGCCCCGAGTCCAAGGAGATGCGCCACGTTCCCCACGTGGAGGCTGTGTGGGTGGGGACACAGGTGGGGTCACAGGTCACGGGTCTTGCTACTGCCCCTCTCCACAGGCCCTCCCAGAAGAAACACGACATCAGGTCAGCCTTCCCAGACACGGATACCAACAGCAGCAAACCGCCCTTTCTGGCCTTAGTGCTAAGGAGACTTCTGGGATTGGGGTCGACAGACGGAAGGCTGCCTGCGGCAGACACAGCCTCACCCCTCCCTCAGGCCCCCTCTGGCCACTGGCCCACAGGGAGTGGCCCCGGGAGGCCTGCGGTCAGGACACCATCCCCTCACTCCTGCCCCAAGTACCAGCCAAGGGACGAAACAGGGCAGAGGATGAGGTCGGGTGACAGATGTCTTCTGGCCTCAGACCCGCATCACATCTGTGCCAGACAGACGCACTGCCTTGTCCTGCAACTCGACCTGTCCCCAGCTTGGGGTCTGTGGAAGTGACCCTCAGACCGTGACATCAGCCACAGGATCGGAGGCTGGGCACTGCTGTATCCAGAGAGCACGAACCCAGACGCTCGGGCACAGCTGTGCCAGGTGCAGGCTGCAGACCCCGAGCAGGACGGCCCCGCGGTGCGAGCACCGCACCACGGGACACTTGGCTGACCCAGAAACGCAAACAAGGCCAGGAGAGGCGGCCACGGTAAGGGTTCCGACAAGCGCGGGTGCCGCCCAGGGTCTGGTGGCAGGAGCTCTCTCCTGGAGGGAGCCACTGGCCAGTCGTGCCGGGAAGCAGTGCAAGCAGACCTAACACGTGCTTGGGTGCACACGGGCCTGTCACCAGCAGCCCCACTCAGGAAACGGCTCCCACTCGAGGTCAAGGCCGCCAGCAGGAGATGGCCCACGACCCCCACGACCCCAATGACCCCGACGCCCTCCAAGGGCCCAGGAGGCACAAGCGAGCGCGCCCCCAGGGGGTTCTCACAGGGCAGGACTTGGTGGTGGAGGGAGAGCAGGTCGGCGCTCTGGGGGACACGAGCCACTGTTGTGTCCTAGACCTGGGTTTACACATACAGGTGTCAGTACTCAGAACCATACACCGCGCTAAGAGTGGATCTCACCACGTGGCGATAAACCACGAGAGACAGAACTGACGGGAGCTGTGAGCTCGTGAATAAGAAACTACTTTGTAAACTGAAGGTCACCGTCTAGGTGCACGTGGGGTTGAGCAGAAGGAAAAGCTTTAGTAAAGAGACACCAGTGCCAGCAAGTGGGGAGCCACGGTTTACTACGGAGAACGTTCGGGCCTCCCTCCGGACCATCCTGCTGCACAAGGTGCACTCGGAGGGAGAAGCCCCGAGGACTAAACCCCAGGACCAGCTAGTGGGGGTGCCGCCCTCCCCAGGGGTGGGACCCTGCTGCTCGGGGGACAGGCAGGCGTCCCACCCGAGCAGACCGTCCCACTGGGCCCTGTCCCCGCTCGCCAGCGGGGGCCGTCTGGGCAGGGCC